TTTACCACATGCGGCAGTGGACTGAAATATAGACTGTGACACGGCGTACAGTCCAGCTGGTCCATACCAGAGCAACTGTAAACACGAGCTGGAGTGCTTGTTACACGCGGGCTACATTGTCCCAGCGGCCCAGTGCCTCTGTGCCGGGCCATTCCATACGTGCCTGCTCTCTCAGACATAAGTCCCGTTTGTTTGTTGATATTGTGTGTACATATGTGGCTCACTGGCTTCTCTGAATGGACAACAATTGCTCTTTGTGTGTGAATTGGAACGTGGTTATTTCAGCAGTTTGCTCAGCCAGTCAGAGTCCACCTGAGTTGAACCCCCTCCCTCCCTGGGGCGGCCCACCACTCGATGATCATTGCATTTCCTCCCCCCTCGTCCTTTCAAGTTTCAGGTTTGTTTCTATTCAGTTCCTCAAATTGGGACCCAGAGGTGCTTGTGGCTTCTCGGAGGCCGAGTTCAAATTCAAATATTTTGCTGTAAAAGTATCTCCTCTGCTGCTCTTGGCCATCCACACCAGACTGTAAAGATGTCAGACTTAGTGGGTTTTTTTTTTCATTGGCTCCTGGTCCACACACCCTGCTTTGATCCAGACCCTGGCACAGCACTGGTAGAGTGGAGCAAATATTGACTCCATCTGAGCCAGACGCCTGAGCCCCCTCCCCCACCCTGGGATCCTTTCTCTCTCTCTCTCTCTCTCTCTCTTCTTTACACTTCACGACTAATCTGCCATTATCCCTTTTTTCTCCTAAACTGCCTTTCATCCTTTTTCTGCTGCTGATGCCTTTCTTCTCTCTGCCTTTTGTGCTCCGTCAGAGTCTCTTAGATCAGTGTTTCCCAAACTTTTCTTTTTCTGGGGACCCGTATTTTAAAAGTCACGAACCTTCGTGATCCAAGTCAACAGACATTATTCGTAAACTTCTGGGAAACCAAAAAAATCTCTTGAGGGTCGCGACCTAGTCTTTGGGAAACAATGTCTCAGATAATCTCCACCAGTTTGGGTTTTTCCACGACAGCAAGAGAAGATCAGCCTCAAACAGTGATCTGTCCTCCGAATTTAAACCAGACGGGATACAAACCTGCGATCTTCCAATAAAAAGCATCTCAAACACTTTGTTCTCCTACGTTGCTATTGCAGTTACGTGTATTGAACTCTGTCGAGGCTCAGCTTCAGTGGATAAATACTGCAAAAAAAAAATCTTCACATACACCTGAGGTGTGGTTATTGAGTGTAGGAGTGTTGTCCTAGCTGCAGCCTGGTGAACTGCACCTGTATGGGCTCCACACCTGTACTCTGCCCCACGTCCTCTTGCTGTGAGCCTGGTACATACTTCTGCAGGTCCACACAGGAGACGTGAAGGCATGTGTTAGCACACATTAAATCTATATGTTCATCTGAGCCGTCCAGCCACTGAGAACAGCTGGGTTGGGGTTTTCTCCTCAAGATTTATGATGGACATATATTTATCCAAAGCCTCCTCGTCTGAGGTCGGTAAAGATTCGTCGTCTAAGTGATGGATTGTTGGCGGACCGCGTTTAATATTTCACTTAAAATAAAACATTACAAAGATCACTCCTTTATTCGTCCCACAATGGGGAAATTCACAGCGTGAGGTTTTGCAACCCACACAGGCTGCCACAAGGGAGGCGCTATAAAGTGTGTAGTTCTTCTGGGGCTTGAACCCATGACCTTCTGCCTGTAAGGCCCTGGGTTCAAGCCCCCAGAGGAGGAACCGCATGCACTAATGGCACCTCCAGTGGCAGCCGGTCTAAAACAGAACAGTTATGTAAATACTCTGTACTGGCCCAGATGGGACAGATCCAGACCTGGTCCAGACCCAGTTAAAGTACCCAAACATGTCTCCAGTTATGTGGAGAACTCCCAGAATATTAGTTGTTGAGTTTTTTTTTTTACTACTCCGTCCAAACATGTTTTTCACAGTGTATCGCAGTGTTCTTAAACAACCAAAAACCTTCCATTGTCCTTTTGTTTTTAACAAACGATCAAAACGATTCTTCTAAAACCACAGATTTCCGTCTGGACTTTTCTGGAACCATCCACGTGTCCAATTAAAAACACCCTTTTGAGCCTCGACCTGAACCAACCTGTGTGCTCGTTGTACCGTTGTACGTAGCAGTTTATTCAAAAGTTTGGACTCGCAGACTGAAAAATTAAACAAATTAAATTAGACGTTGGGATTTGTTTGCCAGACAGCCAGAACGCCTGAACAGAATTATACTCTTATTGGTTCCAGAGTTCCTCAGACGCCGCAGTCGAGAGCGCAGCGGTAGAAGAGCACGAGAACACAAGAGCCACTGGAGCGGCGTAGTGAGAAAACGTAGAGATGAACGTCCGTGTGGCGATGAATCGCTCCGGCGTCGTCAGCGCGACAGAACTTGGTGGTGAACGGTTCTGCTCTGGGGTCTGAGATCGTGATTCATGATAACCATCAGACTTTATTCCCGTCCCCTCTCGCTGACCTCAGTCAGTTTCACACCGCCTTCACGGGAGACGGCCCACAGTGGTCTTATCTTTCCCCAGCCCCGGACACACTGTTGGTCTGAGGAGGAGGAGGAGGAGGAGGAGGAGGCCCCATTAACTGTGTCAGTAACGAGGGGTCGTGGGCCGACTGAGTCTGGGCCTGGAGCTGGAGTGTGTGTGTGTGTGTGTGTGTGTGTGTGTGTGCTGAAGGCAGGGTGTGTGTACATGCATGAAGTTTTTTCAAGTGATTTATCACTCCCACCCGGCCCGGCTGCTCTGATGGTTGCAGTTGCAGTTGCTGCGATCAGGCGTCCAAGACAAACACCAGATCTGCTCCTCGTACGCGGACCTCCACACACACATACATGTAAACATGCAGTACACAGACGTGCTCAGCTGCATTCTGTTGTCACCAGTTAATATATACATTTCCCTCGTGGGTCTGGGGGGGGAGGGGGTTAGGGGGGAGTCATGACTGGGGAAGAATAGAGAAGAAAGTCAAGGAGGGAAGGGGGAGGAAAGAGGGGGGGGGCTAAAAGTGCTCATGTACCAGCAGTGGTCATGGTAATGACCTCTGGCTAACTGTAGTTACTGATAGACACGCTTCTTGGAAGTCCAGAGATATGCGCTACCCCAGTCACAGCAGACACACCCTGGGTTGTTGCACTTGGGGCAATAGCCTCTGGAAACTACCCTTTTTTTTATTATTCCAGGCCCAATTTTAACATTGGGTTTTTTTTTTTGTGACAGATCAGATCTCTGGTCCTCTCTGTCACGAGGTCAGGTCATCAATCTGTGGCTCACAGCTCTCTTTGAAGAACCTAATCTGTGTCTCCATCACCACAGCCATGTTGTTGGATTCCTGTCCAAGAAAAGCAGAGTCCTTCCCGCCCCCCCGCTCTCCCCCAGGACATCTCCAGGCAGCAGTAACACACTGTATCTGCTGGACCATAACAACAGTGAGCCCACCCCGGCGTTCTCTCTCATCATAATCTCATCTCTCTCTGTCGCTCAGAGGCAGCACGCTGAGAAATCAGAGGCGTTTGGTTTTTAATTTCAACGTTAAATCTTGTTTTTTCCACTAATAATCCTCCGCCTTATTCTCTGAGTCCAGTCTTCCACGTTTGTGATTGACACCAACAGGCTGCCTCTTGCCTGACAGTAGGAACGTCAGCGGTTTAATCCCCGCTCTTTGTCATTTTCCATGTTCTCCTTGTGTTTGTGTTGATCCTTCTCCGTACGCCACGTTCAGGATTAGCTTGACTGTTCACTCTAAATCGGAGGGGGGTGCCAAAGATATGGCACGTGGCCCAAAACCAGCGTGCTTGGTGGTTCAATACGGCGCTCTTGACGAATGTTGAAAGAGAAAAAAAATGCACTGCATGTTAGTGATGTTTCATCAAATATCTCTTTGAATATACTTTTTTTAAATATATATATATATATTTAAATATGCATTGTGAGGTAAAAAAGACCTGAAACCTGGAAGCTGTTTTATGAGGTCGGAGAAACAATTTAGGTAAAACATTGTTTGTCAGCAGGAGAACAGTCTCTCTGTGACTTCAGAAAAGACAGTTTTTCTCTCTTTAATGATATTTTTCACGCCTTATTGAAGAGGAATGATTGCTGTGTGGCCGCCTTCCCTCTGAGCACTCGCAGAGAATGTTTGATTATTTTTCTGTCTCTACTTCTATGTCACTCTGCCGCGGCCCCCTGCCCCCCCCTTTCTCCCCCCACTGTGCCACTTAGCTTGGTTTGGCTGAGCTTTACTAAACTGCACGTACCGACTGGGAAAAGTCTGTGGCTCTGAGACAAATAAATATTATGTAAGTTAGCATCCAGCGGCGTCCGCTGCTGCCTTCACAAACCACACAAACACCTACACACGTACGTGTCAGTCTCTGCGGAGGGGGGGGGCGGTGTGTGTGTGTGCGCGGAGGGGAGGGTCTCGATCACGACTGTCTGGACGCAAGTGTTTAAAAATGTGATCAAAAACCATTTACTCTGCAGCCTGTGTTTATATCACTCAAAACCTGTGGTGGTGGTGGTGGTGGGGGGGCGCACGGTGGGATAGTGGTTAGAGCTCTTGCCTTACAGCGTGAGATTGATGCATGTTTCTTTCCCATGTTCCTGCATATATGGACTAGAGTAGTGCATTGGTAGGATTCTTAACTAATAATGCCAAGAGGTTGTGGGTTTGAATCCCTGTACCAAACCACTATGGCTGTGACTGGTGAAAGGACAAAGAGGAAATAGTTCCTAGTTCCTCGTTCATCGTTCACTCTAAACTGGTAGTGTGAATATTATAGTGTGAATTATTTTTGTAGCAGTAGAAGAAGAATTAAGGCCGAAAAAAAAAAAAACTGTCCTCGGAGCTCCGAGCGTTTCACGCTCCCAGAAAGTAAACAACTGTATCAACTGAGATGAATCACAAACACAAACACACAGTTTACACTTTGACCCCGTGTGGATTTGCTGTGGAACACCTCGTGATTGTACCAGCAGCATTAGTCCAGAGACTGAGTGAATAAGTCCCATTAATGCCTTCAGTACCTACTTCCTGTGCAGCGTTTCCTGCTGCCAGATCAGTGGATCATTAGAACCGATCACTCTGACCTTTGAGGACAATGGAGCTCAACGCTGCTGCACTGAGGAGCGGAGTTGTTATGGCTTAGTCTGAGCCCTGAGACTGTGAGTGAGAGAGAGAGAGAGAGAGAGTGTGTGAGAGAGAGAGAGAGAGAGGGGAAGGAAAAAAAGGGGAGAGTTGTATAATCTGTTCATTTTAAATCTGCTGTCACCCTCCACCCAAACCGTCACACCTCCGTGTGTTAGGGAAGAGAGAGAGAGAGAGAGAGAGAGAGAGAGAGAACCCTTCCCAAAAATCACGGGGAGTGACTGTGACAGGAGTAAGGAGAGAGAGAGAGAGAGAGAGAGAGGGAGTGAGTGCGTCAGAACTCTCTCCAAACTTTATCGCGCGTCTTGAAGGACTGCTCGGACCCTCAGAGTGGACTGGACTGGACTGGACTGAAACTGTGTAGCTGTGGTCAGCGGTTCCAGTTCGGACTTCCTTGGATCATAATGCAGTCGGATTTCATTTTCAGGTAGAACTTTCTCTTTTTTTTTTCCTCTCCTACCTGCTGGTCCTCATCTAGACTTCCATCCTCTCCTCGTCGTGTGTTTTACTGGAGACTGTGGCGGTGTGTGTGTGTGTGTGTGTGTGTAGCAGTTTCGGGGAGAAGTTTGGACTTTTACGCACGGTGGTGTCCGGTGTCGCAGCGGCGACTTTATGATCGGAATGTAGCCGTAGGTAACTGGACTCGAGCTGCAGCTCAGTGCCTTCTTTCTCGGGGCGGACTTTTTTTTTGGTTCCACAGCTTAACTTCCACCGCTGCTCTGTTTTCTTGTGCCCGAGGCTCCGTGTTGATCCGACAATGCGCCACAGTAGCGGGCAGGGAAACGTGGACGCGGACGGGGGGTCGTTACTTCGGCCTCAGCGGCTCTGTTATGTCGGACTGTGCGGAACCTTTGTCTGCGCTTCTCGGGGTAATTGTGCAGTCCGGTGTAGGGGCAGCTTCCACAGACCGCGGCGGTGCACCACAGTGGGAGAAGGGACCAATTACTCTGAGTGCATGTGGCTTGCGGACTGGTGATTGTGGTGATGGGTTGGGGCGGACGGTGAGCCCTGAAATGTCCATCTCGTCCAGTCGTTTGGGATCGTGTTCCTGCTTTTCCCAGATGCTGAGGTTCCACTTGTTTCCATCACCACTTGATGTGGTTTGGTTTGTCACAAGTGCAGTGTCTTGAAAAGTACAAGTGAATTTCTGCTGCTCGTGCAGCCACCTGACCCCGGCCCCACATGTTTAACACGTTGAATACATGTTGACATAGTAGTTGTTGATGTTTACTGCAGCGGTACTGCAGTAGTGGATGTGTTTTAAAGACCTCCAGCAGGTTTTTCCTACCCACGACCGGGGCCCGGTGGGTACGGCAGGTTAGCTTCCATCTGTAGCTGCTTGTTGTGAACTTTGACCCCAGCCTGCGTCCACCTGCTGGTCCAAAGATGGTATAACTTTGCTGTATCAGGAAGAACATTTCTGACCAAACCACCGGTGTGGATCGTCGGTGGTGTGTGTTGTCACAGCTGCAGGCAATTAATGGGATTTCTGTCGTTAGCTGCTGCAAAAAGGGGGGCATCCGTTTGACCCCTGACCCACGTGTTTATTATACCTCAGTACTTACTGTCAGTTCACTTCACTGTACACTAGGAGCTATACGTCTCATCTCATTTCTTTCTCATACTTGGCGACAAACTGTCACAGATAGAAGAGAAGCTATTACAGAGCAGGGGTCTCCAACCTCTGGTTCAGGGACCGGTGACGGCAGTAACGGCTGATACCGGCCAACCGGTCCTTGGTACAAAAGAAGGCACCGTTGTTATAGAACGTTATAGAACATTAACTACAAAGATGCATCAGTGCAGAACAAAGGAGTTGGAGGTTGAGTTCAACTTGTCAGGAGAGAAAACCAGTGAGAGATGTGGAAATAAATCAGTAGAAAAGGTCACAGAGCGGTCTGGAACTAATGGCGTCAGGAGTCACAGGAGGACAGAACACTGCTGTGCTGATGACATACCTGCACGTCAGAACAAACACTGGGCTCAGATGAGTTAAAACCAGAGACAAATCGTGGTCATAAAGATACCGTCGATGTTAGGAGAGAGTTTAAACATCAACAACAACAGAAGAGTCGGCCAGGCTCAGAAATAAGGTTAAACCTTACTTCAGAACTGGCTCAGATCGAGGTCCAGGTCACCGCCAAAAAGTATCAAATCAAGTGAAGCTTGAGGGATTTGCCAAAAGCATGGGTCTCAAACTTCCGGCTTGGGGGCCAGAAGTGGTCAGCAAGTCTCTCCAAATCCGGCCCAGGACTAGATGTCAATATTAATGTGATTTTGTTGCAAAGAGAAATTTAAATTTTTTACAAGTGTACATTCATTAAAATACTCTTAAAAACATAGAGAAAAAAAAGTGCTTCGCTGATGACACTGTTATATTTTACAGTATTTACGGTAAACAGAAACGACTTCTTCATTGGACATCGAACACTGATGTGGCCCTCAGCTCATTTGAGTTTGCAGTAGAAGTATGCATGGATACCTCAGGGGACTTGTTAAAAAAGTACCTCAAATGACTGCTGTTGGTTTTCCAGCTACACGTGCACAAAACTTATTTCAGGAATAAATGAAGCCATTAATTTTGACACCGGCGTTCCTGTGAAGTCATTTTGTTTCTTACTATAAAGTAGAATAATGAACGCTTCCTAAATTAAGCTTCAACGTTCACATAGGGCCGTCATAAAAAAAAAAACCTACCAGGTCAAGAACATACTTCATGTCAAAGTTAACGACGACGGCCCCAAATTAAAGGAGACATTAAAAACCGTCACCGCAAACTGTGAACCACCTCCACTGAACATCAGGCCTCAAATGGATGATTCTGGATGTGGTGAGCGATTGCCCCTGCGACTGTGGTTAGGTGTTTGTTTAAACCACATCCTCGGGGCGTGTACGGTCCCACAGAGGCAGACATGGAGAGGGCGACCGTTTAAACCCATCAGTTTGTTAGCACCTCTCAGACGTCCACAGAATAATGGAGATGTTCGCCTCTGGACCCCGAGGGGGGAAAGAAATAAAGTTTTTCTCACCTCGTCGTCGTGTCCACACATCACCTGCTGCAGGAAAGTGAAGTGAAGTGGTATGATTGGCTGCTGGGGTGCAGTGAGATCACTGGAACATCTGATGGAGTGTTCGGTCCACACTGTAATTTAATTTAAGTATACCATCTAGTCTAAAGAGGGTTGTGGTCACTGGAACGTTGCTCCACGATTTGTAACAATTTCTATACGTCCAGTGAAAGAGCTCATTCAACCTGCCGTCTGTTTGAAACCTCTGTCTCTGTGCCTGCAGGCTCTGTGTGCTGTGGGGCTTTCTGGAGGTCGTGACCTCTGGGACCAAGGCTGCCAAACGGAAGGTGAGTCATTAACCCATCGTGCGTCTCAATCAGGCACAATAGCTGCCACTGTCTGGGGGTCAAGGGTGACCAGAAATAAGGAAAATACACGTTTTCTCCAAGTCCACGGTACATGGACTACTACAAGAGTGACATCACTGGTTTTACCAGTCCGTCCCAGCTGCCAAGAGTAATGGACCCACACATCCAAACATCCACACAGTCCCAAAAATAAAACAGTTTCGACCAGTCAAGAGTCAAGTCAGGTATTTTCCAGAGACACTGCCCAGAAATCCCTCTTTGTTTTTGTCTGCAGCAGCTGAAGAATTTACTCTAAAGGAAAGGAAAAAAAAATGAAGGAAGAATTTCCCAACACACCGTGTCCCATTCATATTAATCTGATGTTAATTATAGCTGAACATCGGAACACGCTACGTCATTCACAGCAGTGGTAGTAAACAATTTCTGACTTCAAATTAAAGAAAATAAAAAAGAGTCTACAGCCTGGCTGTGATGGCCTTACAGTAACTCTGGGATTTTAACTCAGTAATAAGCTAATGTTAGCTGCACCAGTCCTGGTATAGACACTAGTGCTAATGTTAGCGTCACTAGTCTGGGTTACAGACAGTAGTGCTAATGTTAAAAAAAAGTCTTCAACTGTTAAATATGATGTAGGTTATTCTGCCAAGTCAATACAGTAAAATATAGATAAAAAGTAATTTTTAAGTTTAAATTATTTTGTTAATTTGAATTTAAACAGTTTTTTAAAATTTGACAGAAATCTTATAAATCAAGGTGAATTATTTCCAAATCATCCGATTCATTTGTTTTTTGAATAACTAGTTGGAAGACGTCAAACCAGGTTATAACCCGGAGCTGCAGGTGAACTTCTGTCTCTAACCTTTGACTCCATGTCAAAAAACCGCTGGTTATGAGCCATGAAGCCATGAAGAGGCCCCGACCTGAGTCCTGTCCGTCTGTCATACATGCTGATTATCTGAGTGATAACGCCTGAGAAAAGAGCTGCCTGTTAGACTAATGGCATCTTTACCTGGTTGTTTTTAACTACAAATGGCATCTGAGTGGAGTTCTGACCTCTATTGGATAAAGTTCACACGTGAACTGAAGCGTAAAGACGTGCATGTGTGAACACATGGGTCTAAAAAACTCACTCCAGGGAATCTTCTAGAGAAGGATAATGTTCTATTGAGCTCATGTGAGAACACAGCAGGAGAAAACCCAGAGACTCAGGAGCAGAGGAGGAGGAGGAGAAGGAGAGGCTCCTTCCATCTCCACTCTCAAACCAAGTGTCTCACCTACAACAAACTCCAAACCTGAATGTCTGAGGATGGCTGACGTCTCTGGAGGAAACACGTTAGCTCCATCGTAGCTGTCACAGTCAGGAGCAGTCTACTGTTGATAAATCTATTCCTGAAACTAGGTACTGTAGCCTTGAGCACCAGGCGACCTGTTGTGCTGTACACCTCAGACAATTAGATTAACAAGAAAAAAAAAACATTATACACAAACCATAAAATCTTTAGACTGAAGACTTCTTTTCGTTGACTCCTGTCTGTGATTCTGTGCTGTTTTTTGTGGGTCGATCCAACAGAAAAAGTTCAAAGTCAACCATGATATGGTCTTTATGTTCCTTTATAGACCTGCCCTCGTGTCCTGCCAAACTTCACTATAAGCCTTTTTGGCTCCGACACACGACTCTTATAGAAATGTTCTCCACAACTTTATAAAAACCAAACAGCAGGTGCCGCCAGTAAAAGTTTAAAAAAAAAAAAATTGACTGCTAAAACCAGTGCAGTGTTTTACTGGTGGAGTTAAAAATACTGGTCTTTTCATCTCAGCGTGGACAAAGACCAACCTGGAACTCAAACACGTCCAGGAGAATCAGAATGTCACAGAGTCAGTGGTGATTTGCCAAAGACAACATAGCCCTGCTGGCCCGAGGTGGCTGTAATAATAATAATAATAATAATAAAAGTACAGATGGTGATATTAATGACAGAAATGCAGATCAACTTCTTCAGTGTAGTTTTAAGACTCTGTAATTGTGCCGTGCAGCTGGAGGACGACCACAGTATCACCAGGATTCATGTTTTCTTTCAAAAAGCAACTTGACCAGATCAGGAATTCACAGCTTCACTGCTGCTGTCGCAAGAGCTGAGCCGCCGGCTCCGGAGGTTGTCAGCGGCCACTGCACGGTCATTGCACTGAGCTCATTAATGCCCCGAGTTATGTGGCAGCTGGATGTTAGATGTCACTCATTCATTATGACACACACACACACGCACACACACGGTCTTCAGGCCTGTTGTTGCCTCAGCTCCTCCTCATTTCTTTCAGCACTCTCTGTTTTCTTTCCTCCGATCCTCACGCTATTTTACTCTCAGAACAAACACACACACACATGCGTGCCACTTCCACTTGCTCTCTCACCTCCATCCACAAACTGCACAAATATCCTTGTGCATTTCTGAACGTTGACTGTGTGAATAGAAACTTCAGTTCAGGCCCTGCTCTCCTGCCCTGCGCCCCCTACCTGCCCTGCCAGGCCACTGCTCCAGGTGTTAAATTAAAAGGGGAAATATTGATCCACTGCTGCAAAACAGGGTTTCTAGCAGAGACCTGGCAGCGACATGCACGCTGTGTAAACATGTGTATACAAACATGAACGCACTGCCGCCCTTGTGGTGATCACGTCGCTCCAGTGCTGTGTCCTTGTGTCCATCTGCTCCTGAGCTGCTGCTGCTGCTGCTGCTGGCAGGTGACCCAGAGTTTAGGTTTTTACATTTGGGCCTGAAGGAGCGGAAAGTCACGCGACTGTTGCTCATCAGTCGACTCACTCTCTGTGAAGAAATATGTCCTTTCAGAGACAGATTTTTTTTTCAGAGACAGAATTTTTTTTCAGAGCTTTTGCAGCGCCAACAGTTTTGCTAAGTTGAGTTTTTCTTTTGAGATACTGCCAAGACTTGCAGGTTTCAGTGATGCAGATTGTGAAATATGGTTGACTTTAAACCTGTCATGTGTCTGAGTCAAGAACGCTCATTGTTCCATTCAACTTTTAAAACATATAAATATTACACAACAGTAAAAAAAAGAGAAAACAGTAGGATTTTGTTGCATAGTCATAGACATTTATCTAATTTTATATTATATAATAGACGATACTAGGGACCTGAGACATTTCCTCATAACATAGAAACAAGAAATAAATATTTTTCAACTCGACCAAAATGCTCATTTTTTTAAAGTGAAGTTTATCTTTTAAAATGATTGACTATGATTATTCCTCAGTCTAGTTTATAATTTTGTGTGTTTTCCTCAGGGTGCAGGCCGACAGCCCAGGCAGGTGTTGGAGGTGGAGCCTGTCGAGGGGGTGTGGTCAGTGTGGGGCGATTGGTCAGAATGCTCTCAGACCTGCGGTGTTGGAATCTCCCAGAGGAGCAGGAAGTGTTCACCTCCTCCCCAGACTCCTACGTTCTCCCATTCTCCTCCTAACTGGGCCGGATATCTGCCCAGCGGCATCAGAGATCCAGTGATGTCACCGGTTTACCCCTTCTTCTCCCAGCATCAGCCCGGACAGCACCAGCGTTATCATTCCCCACCAGTCTCCCCCAACCACAACCCAGGAATACCGCTGTATCGGAATAACCCAACAGGAGGTCGAGGACCTCCGGTTCACGGACAAGGAGATCCACCTCCTCCTTTTTACCAACGGGAGTTCTCCGCCCCCAATCAGGTGTCTGTCTACCGGTCACCCTATCAGCCTCCAGCTCACACCTACAACCAACCTTCACGGATCGCCAGGAGACCAGCCAATCCTGGGGCAGTGCGGGCTGCAGGAAGTGGAAGCAGAAGGTCCGTCCCCAACAGTCAGGAGGGGTCAGCAGTGAGAAGGTGAGGACGTTTTTATACAACCTAATTAGGTGTCAGGACCATCATTAAATAATGACCTATAGTTTTTCCCCCTTTGTTTTCATGCAAATAAGTGAATAAGATCAATCTTCATATTTAATGAAATGTAATTTTACAAAACATTTCCTAAACATTAAGTGTTTGCATAATGAAATGTAATTTTACAAAACATTTTCTAAACAATAAGTGTTTGCGTTTTATTTTATTTTCAAAATTCATCAAGTGGGCCGAATTGAAACCCCAAGCGGTCCAGTTTTGGCCCGCATGCCATATGTTTGACACCTGTAATAAATATACATGTCAGGAACTGGAGGGAGAAGTATTACTAAGGTGGTACAAAAAGGTTCAAGACTTTAGAAAGAGAAGTATTAAAAGAACAGCTGTCAAAGGAACAGTCGCTGATCTAATCTGGAATATTCTGGTTTAGGAGTGAGTAGAACCCTGAAGAGGACCCTGGAGAACCTCCCTTCTGCTGAACACAGATGTTCTTAGGTTTTTCTTATGTTTCTGGAAGTTCATCCTACTGTAACAGACGACAGCTGATCTTCTCTGCTGTCTAATAATCATGTTAGTCTCACTGTGGCAACAACTGTTTAGACACCGGTGAGCGTTCGTGATGACGAGTGCTGCTGTGGAGTTCGACCTCTGTGTCTTTAGTTACTGTTCTCTCATTAGTGCCTCCTCGTTGTGGGTTAAATGAATGAGGGCAGTTCACCGTCCACATCTGGTTCTGTAAACTTCTCCCTCCAACTAAACATTTCCCCGTTTCTTTTTTTTTTCTTCCTCACAGGCCGTCTGCCATCCGCCCAGGGCAGTATGGGTACGGCAGGGTGCCCTTTTCTTTGCCCCTGCACCGTCAGAACAGACAAGCTCGCCACACTGAGAACGGGACGGATGCTGTCGTTGATGAAGATGAAGCAGAGAACAGACGAGATGAAGAAGTGGTGAACGACAGTACAGAACGGCCGCCTCAGAGGAGAGCACAGGGGAGAGCACAGGAGGAGGAGGAGGAGGAGGAGGAGGAGGAGGAGGAGGAGGAGGAGGAGGAGGAGGAGGCGGTGGATCAGGAGAGCACAGAGTCACCTCCTGCTGAGGAGGTGCCCCCAACACCTGGAAGACCTCAGCAGCGCGTGGACCGGCCCTCACCCGCCCGTACGGATCACGTTAGGGCGAGGGAGCAGCTTCCATCCTTCCGATACTCTTCACGCCCTTCGTCACCATCTGTTTCCAACCGCCAGCGCTTCAACTGGCACTCTGTCACCGCTCCACCTCCTCCCATTTCTCCCCTCTCGCGCCCAAACTCTCCAGCCATCTCCTCGCCTTTTGCCACTTCGCTCCACCGCCCCAGCCCGGTGCACAGGGACAGAGAACCTCACCCAGGTTTTAGCCCACAGGTGCCACCTGCAGGAAGCATTTACCCACTGCGGCACCCCCGCATCCCACACCTGGGGGTGGATTTAGGCGGGGGCAGAGGAGCAGGACCAGAAGCGGGAGCTCCTCAGGTCTTCAAGTGTTCTGGTCCGGAGAAAGAGTACCGCAGGTGCTTCTCACAGGTAGGATTTACTTCTATAAATCTCAGAAAGTAAAGTAACTTTATGCTCACTGTAGTCTTCTCAGACCTTCAGCTGTTCAGTGTTCATCTCCACCGTTCTCAGCTGCATCTGCAGATGTAGCCCGCAGTGGTTTTTTGATTTATATGCGTGCCATATGTTGAAGACAGCAGTGAGGCAGGTGTAAAATGAGTAGCTGGAGATCAGATCCAACACTGGCCGCTTGTCTCTGAGCACTGAGGTGGAAATTACCTGCAGGTATCCCAGCTCCTCCCAGGCATGTGTGTTTTCTGGGTCACCCACGTCACTGTACGACTGCACAGTCTTGTCTGGGTTTATCAGCTTTTTATAAGCAAATGCACGGAAATGTGAACATGTGCCAAGACCTGAGTGGTTCAGTGTGGTAACATCCTCTCCACGAGTGGCGTCAGATCTGTAGTTTTGGTCTTGAAACCTGGACATTAACATCAGTAGCCCTATGTGTGTGAGACAGACAGACAGACAGACCAACCAGTTCTCTCAGATTAGTTAAATCACTCTAAACACAGGTGAGACAGTGAGCGCGCTACAGCTGCAACATTGCACCCTTTGGGACATTTTGACACACTTGGTCAGTGCGTAGCCCTGAGAGGCAAATTCAAAGGCTAAATAAATTACATTTCTGGCTACAGCCGGGAAAAGTTGATTACAATTTACACAGCTTACACAGTTGTTTTAATTTACACAGTTTTACGAGGGAGGAGACAGCGGTCTGTGTTCGATTAAAAATGCCTGAAATATTTTATGTTTATTTATATTCTCTCCACTCTTTGCACACCACATGCTTATTGAGCTAACTTTAATGTGAGAACTCCTAAATTAGAGTGACAGTGTGTTTTTGAACAACACAAATTTCCTCAAACCACGAAGACGGCGACACTTGTAAAAAGTCGCCATCACAGAAACCACAGAGTTATAATGATGAAAGTTAAACAAATGAAATCCCCTGCCATTAGTGGTGTATTTTCCCTGAGTGGATATAAACTGGAGGGACTGGTCTGTAGCGTGTTTTTATAGGCCAAGACTTTTTTTTTTTTTTTTTTTTACAGTTTTATAGACTACGGTTTAATCACAGGGACAGAAATGCCGAGAGACAAACATGTGGCCAGGTTATTTATGTCAGCCTTTCAGATCAGTTTTTAGCTGGAGTGCTGCAGGAAGTGATAAGACGACAAAACACACGGCAATGGCTGTTTGACTGTCACACTCCTACGACTGCCACTCACTGAGCTGAAGTGGGCACTTACATCTGGGGACAGGTCGGCACTCTGGGGCCCTTGACGTTATCTCTCTGAAGAGAATTCGGGAGCAGCTCTTGTTGTCTTTGAACCCCCCTCCACCCAATCGTCCCCCTCCTCTTGTCTCTGTCTCTGCCTGACTCTCCGTGATATGTTGAAACAGATTTAGTCGCTGGCAGGACCCAGGCTGCCTGTGTGCCAGCCCTGTTAATAGCAGCTCTGTGAGCCTGACTCATTGGGTTACACATTCACCCAACATCAGCCCTGTTTACTCCTGCACCTGATGATTGGCCCACATTTTTAAATGAGGGATCATCCTCACTTAAAAATAGGTTTGAAGCGCTGATGAATGCAGGACCGTGCCCAGGCCTGTATGCACGGTACACACGTTGGTGTGTGTGTGTGTGTGAGTGTGAGTGTGAGTGTGGGTTTTTCTTCTCATGTTTTTGTGATTAAGGGAGCCTGACTGGATGTGGAACATCCTATGATCTGTTAGGTGTGTCTCCTAGAACACAGAGCATCTGAGGCCAGAGCTGAACAATTATCGCTTTGCAAACTGAAAATCTCAGAGTGACCTAATACTGTTGAGAAATCCCAATGCGTCAGTTTGTTTATTTTGCATTTCAACTGTTACGTTTTTGATCCACTCGCAGTTGTTATTACCCAAACGCTAGGTGACAAGCATGTTTTCCTTTGGGGCTCGAACCCATGACTTTCTACGTGTAAGGCAGTTAGTGTAAGCAGGCATGGTAACCGCTACTCTACAAAACGGCCGATGTTGTTGCTGCTGCTGCTTTGACAGTACGTCGTCCTCCAACACGTGAGACACATCCAGACCGATGGCGACAGGTTGTGTTAGCGCTGGTTAGCAGCTTTTAGCTCACATGACAGTAGGAGCGTGAGGAGACAGGAGGTTCTCTGCTGTGGTCGCTCATGTTTTTCTTGCAATTCTAGCCTTCTAATTACCTATGGTAACATGCACTGGTGCAAAAAGAAAGTTCTTCTAGAACTCAATCTGAGAGAAAAATAATCCCATAATTTCATCCTTAACTTTTATGGTGATGCAGTTGATTAAAAAACGATCAGGCAAAAATAATTTCTGTTAGAAAATGTAATTATTAGTAATTCTTTTAATAAATTGTTTTGCTTTGACTCAGCCTTGTCACGAGTGTAACAAAACGTGTGTGTGTGTTTACGTGTGTTTGTGTTTGTGTGTGGTGGTGGTGAAGCAGGAGAGGGAAGGAGGAAGTGTGTGTATGGGAGGGTAGGTCTAAGTAGTAGTGAAAGAAAGCTCTGTTTTAAGAGAATCTGCACACAGTAAAGGGAGAGTGAGCTAAAGGCCAAAGGGACAGGAGTGCTGGGGGCAGAGAGGGAGGGGGAGGGGGGGTGAGGGACAAGACTGCTGAGGACCAGTGTTTAACAAAGGATGTCACGCTGGCTGAGGAGCCAGAGGAGAGGAGGGACGGATGGTCAACAGTGGCAGCAGATCAAGAGAACTGAGAACAGAAGAGAGAAAGAAAGAGAGAACGATCCTGGGGCCAAACAAGAGGAAGTGTCTGTCAGAGGAGGACTGGGATTCATGGAAATGTGTGTGTGTGTGTGTCCAAAGTAGACATTAGTTTGTCAGAGGAAAGGAAGAGATGGAATTCAAGAAGAAGCTGCAGAAAAAAAAAAGAATAAAGAAAAGAAAAGACACATGATCTGGAGGCAGACGTCTCACAGAAACACATGCTGATTTACTTTGAAGAGTTTTATCCCCCAAAATTTTCAAACATTTCCTCTGGTCCCAGTCCCTCTGTCTGTCCCTTTCAGACCAAGAACCTTTAACTCTGCGTGTCTGCACGCTAGGGGCCAGACCGGAGGCACGTGCACTGATGCAGATGGATGTAGATCACTGGATCAGATCAGTGCCGGGACAAACGAGGGATGGGAAAGACATTAATGAGAGTCACTCCATTTTTATTAACTCTAACTCTAATTGATGGACAGTCTGGAGCACTAAAGCTGACCTCAGATCAGTCCATCAAAGGTGTGATCAATGATACTCCTTAACATGACAAATAAGTAAAGTGGGAGCCAGTGGTTTAATGATTCCTACCTACCATGCACCAGAAGGGTATGGGTTCAATTCCACCAGGTCCCCAGTCCTAGGTTTGGTTGCTTTGTCAGTCCCCCCCCCCTCTCTCTGCCCTCCTCACCCTCCCTCCCTTTAAGGGACTAGTCTGAAGTCTTTCTAAATGACCTGGAAACAACATCCTCCTCCAGCAGGAGCTGCCGGCCGACGTTATTGATTAATATCAGTGACAGATGTGGTTCATTTTCTTGTTGACCTCACACACACACACACACACACATTTAACAGTTCCAGAAACTCCCATTTGACATCGAGCGATTGTAACTGATCACACGGTTGATAATATCGTTCTCCCTCACATATGAGGCCAGAGTGTAGTGGAGATTATTGAAGCCATATGGAGTCGGACAGAAAGACTTCACCTGGACTCTGGTCTGCTAACAAGAATGGAATGGTTTCTAGTCTCTCTGCTTGGATCAGGCCCAGAATCCTGTGCAGGATCTACAGTGGTTTATGTAGAGGTTTGTGTTCAGTACAGCTTTATTATTAATTAGCCTAGCTGTGTTGTCTCATGGCCAAGAGGAGTAAAGTAGGACAGCTGTAGGTGACTGTGTGACTGTAGGGGGCAGTAGCAGGAACTGATATCATGTCTAATGTTCCATCTTGTATTTTGCACATCTTACAGTTCCTTGTCAATATGCTAATATTTTTGTTCTCTGTCTTATTTTGCCCGGCAACTAAAATACAGTGTAGGTATTAATTAATGCAAGTTCAGAATACAGTGTAGGTATTAATTAATGCAAATTCAGCCATTATCATTATCATTATTATTATTTAAGTACATCCAAGAAAAAAGTATTGGACTGATATCAGTATTTGCAGATACTATATGTTGCAGTACAGGTGGTACTGAGCTAACCCTGGTTGGTTACAAACCCAAGTCAATAGACCAAGAAACATGATGCAACAACGACCCATAAAAAACCTGTTGCGACCCACTGGGGTGTCGTGACCCAGTCTTTGGGAAACAATGGTTTATATCATTTGTTTAGTTTTGAAGGAAAGTCAAAATGCAGACTGAAGCCTTCGTATTATTGACAGAGCTTCGTCACTGCGACACTGAGCTCATGTCCAGAACACACGGTACTGTAGGACCAATGTTATGGTTTTCAAATAAAAGGGTCATTCAGTCGACTCCTGTAGGAGAAACCTGAGGAGTTTATGTTGTAATAAAACCAGACGTGGCGCATCCGTTGGGCCGTGTCTACTCCTGGGCCTGCTGCTGCTGCTGCTGCTGCTGGTGCTGTTGGTCTCAGGGGCTCCGAGCACAGACTCAGCCACAGTCACGGTTGTTGTGGTGGCGTTCCAAGGTGACCCAGGTGTGGTGGACCGTGGCAGACACCCACACAAACACATGTGCTCATTCAGTCCAATCGATTCTTTCTGTTTTAACAAGCACCTGCACCTGCCCGTCCACTAACACCAGGGTCTGTAGCTGCTGTGTGCCCACAATTAAATCCTGCTTTCATGTTTCTCTTTCAAGCCCTTTCACTCTTTCTTTTTTTTTTCCCCACTTTCATTCCAGCCACTCTATTTTCCTTTTTTTTTATTATTTCTCTTCAAACATTAACGGCCTCAGGGTCCACCACATA